CTTTATCTTGTTGTGGTGCTCAAGTATTTCATAAATTCTGGATATAAGTCCCTTATCTGATATGTTATTACCGAATACTTTTTCCCAGTCAGTGGCCTCCCTTTTTACTCTGTTGGAGAAGTTTTTGGATGTGTGGATGCACTCCTTTCCTAATTTTGAACCATGCAGTGTTGCCTTGCTCCGTTCTGACGAGTATAGCTTTCTGGTCTAAGTATAGGTTTTGTTTAAGTACAGTCAAGTGCTCTGGGATTCCCATTATCCTCAAGGTTAACCATATTTTGTTATGATGAACATAGTAAAATGCTTTGCATAGTGAATGAAACACATATAGACATTCCTCTGGTACTCTCTGCTTTTGGCCAACATTTATCTGACATTGGTAATAACGTCTCTAGTGCCATGGCCTCATTTAAACCCAGCTTATATATCTAGGAGGTTTTTGTCGATGTGCTGTTCCACTCGTTTTTTTATAATATTCAGCTGGATTTTGCTTGCCTGTGATATTAGCGATATATGGATCTTGTCCAATCAGCTGGCCAGGTAGCTGTTCTCCAGATTTTTTGGCACAACCTGGTGAGCACATCCAGGGCAGCATCTGTTTAATGAAATATGTCAACTGGTATTCCATCAATTCCTGGGGCCTTGTTTTTTGCCAATTCCTTCAAAGCAGCCTGAACTTCCTCCATCACCATTGCCTTTTGACCATATGTTGTTTCCCGAAATTATTGTGTCAGCCAATTCTCTTTGTTACAGTGACTTTGTGTACTGTTACAATTACAGCCCTGGAAACCACACAGGACAGTTCTGTTCTGTCCTATTTGATTGTTAAGAATCGGAATTGATAGGACAGAAATGGATAAGGATATAAAAGAAATTGGTACGTCTGGTTACCCTTCTTTTTCACTCCTCTCAATCATAAAGCCTTTTTACATTATAACTCTTTATCTCTTGGACTTTTTGTATTGCTTACATTTTTATATCATAACCCTCTGTATCTCTTGAATCTTTGTATTTTAACCCTATGTCTCTTAAATTTTTACAGTATAATTCTTTGTATTGCTAAAATTTTGAAATATAAATTACATGTACTTTCTATAAACCTCCCCCCAATTTCATTACTGATGCATTTGATTCTTTCCAGATATAAACTTTGGCTGAGGGAGTATCCAAAGATAATACTGTAAAGAAAGAAAAAAGGGAGGAAGGAAACTAGCTCACAACTCCAAAGAAAAAAACCTCACAAATCTATTTAAATTGCCCTGCTCCCACTCTTTGGCTCCAGGCAGGCATCCATCTAAGTCAGTCCACACCACAAGAAACTCACCAGGGGCCCCATGCAAATGAGTCAGGTACACAGGCTATTCAACAGCCACATATGGTGGACTTCAACAGGAAAACCTCATAAATTCCAGAGGCACTAAGTTCTGAAGTAGCAGGGGCTGAAGCTTGCCTTTGTATTACCAAAGGAAGGAAGGGTTTGCTAATTAATCACATATGCAAAACTAAGGGAGAATGGGGGGAGCCTTAGCCTCCTGAAGAAACCAGGTATTTTTGGGAACTTCAGCATCGTGTTTATGTGCAATCAAGTCTGAGATGGTTTATAAATGTGTTCTTTGAAAAGCACTAGATTAGTAGGAGTTTCCAGATGTGCCACTAACTTGCTGGGACCCATTTTCTCACTAGTCAAATGATTGGAATTTTTGCCTCATCTATCAGAAGAATACGGTGGGCTCAAGTGAGATTATGATGTAAAAGCACATTAAAAACACAAGAAGTACTGCTTGCAAAAGTATAAACAATAATAGCCATTCCACACACAACCCTGCATTACCAGTAACAGCAAACATTAGCCTACAAATGGATACAAAGACAAGATTAACAGATATGGGTGAGTGAAAGGAATTAAATTCATGAACATTCATAGGTTTGGCAGATACTATTTTAAACTGAGTTATGTGTATTGTTGCTACATATCTATGTATATAGTAGAACCAAACCCACAGCCATCAAACTGATTCCAACTCACAGTGACTCGCCATCAGGTTTCCAAGGCTGTAAATCTGAAAAGGAAGAGACTGCTCACCTCTGCTGTGGCTGCTGGTGGTTAACAGTCCAACATGTTACGCACTAAACACCAGAGCCAACAAGGGGCAGAATCGCACCAACTTCTTAACCAGTACCAAATACCCTGAGGGAAGGAGTCTGGGGGGGTCTCTAGGACCCAGGAGACATCAAGGCCAATTAACAGGACTTCTTCCATAAGGTAAGTCATGACTGGAAACATAAAAGCATCTGAGTAGCCAAAGAAGGTGCACGCACTGGTTTCTCCTTGTCTGGAGAAGAATGAAGGAATCAAAAACCTGTGCAAACAATTAGTCCACAGTACTAACAGACCTTGACAATCTCAACCTCCATGACCCTGAAACAAGAAGCTGACATTGCCCTGCTACCACTGCTAACTGCTCTAAAAGGGATCATAATAGAACGTCCTGAACGGGAGAGGCAGATAAATGTAGAACAAACACTCAAAATCACAAATGGCCAGCTTACTGGTCTGACAGGGGCTGGTGGGATCCCAGGGACTCAGCCCTGTAGCTGCCCCTTTCAGCTTAGATTGGAACTCACTCTTGTGGCATGGTGTAGCCAAACAATAGAAACATCTAGAAGGGGCAGAACAACACCAAGGAGGTACCTGGTTCTCAAAATACACAACCATATAAAAGTACAAGGGTGGCATCTGTCCAGGGTTAAAGTTCAGAGAGAATGGAAGGATGGAGACGAGAACCACAGAGAGAGAGCAGGAAGAGTGCAGATACAATATGCGAACTGTAATCAGTGCCATAGAGCACAGGATGAATAAACGATTGGATGGAAAACCAGTCTGTTCTATAAACTTTTGCTAAAATCACAACAGAAAGTTAAAGGGGGAAAGTATTTATTTGGGTAAGTATACATACAGACAGACATCTGCTTGTGAAAGGTTACATACAGCCTTGAATAACCTGTAAGGCAGTTCTACCCTACAAGTAAGTCAGAATTTACATCAGAACAACTAAAAGCAGGGTACGACTACTAGAAAGTCAGCAGTTCAAACCCATCAGCTTTAGTCTCATAAAGAGTTCAGCTGTGGAACGCTCTGGGAAATTCTTCTGTGTCACCTGGAATTACTACGATTCAGAATCATCTTGAAGACACACACAACAATCACGGTTATCAAAATTAAAATAGTAACGTTGATCAAACAGACCTTAGACTGCTTAGCAGCTGAAATAGCTGAATACAATTGCGAACTGGAAGAACTTAAAAAAAATTTCCAGGAAATCATATCACACTGGTATGACCCTATTTATTTCTATTAAATATTCAAACAACTTCTTCTAGATATGTCTACATGAAAAAAGCATTAAAAGATCCCATGTGGAATATAAGTATGACCTTTACTGAAGTCATAAAGACACTGTATTTATTCCACCTGAGAAAAGCTCAGTCTAACTGATAATGTGTTTCCTAGGGAGATTCTGAATACTTCAGGTGAAGAGCCTTTTTTTTTTCCTTATCTCCTCAACAAGGAGAGAATGTCTAGATTCAAACACTCAAAAAAGCTCTCTCTGCAATAATATCTGCAATCTCGGCAAAACATTCAAGGGCCTTTTTACAAGTATGACTGAAATACCTTTCTCCTTAGCTGATTTAGTGCTGGAGTGAGGACCCCGCTTACATGTGTACTGTGTGTAAAGCACAGTAGTTGAGGATCCCATTGACTCCAAAGCCTTGGAGCTGCCTAAAAGGCTCATGTGACTGCTCTTAACAATTTCTTTAAAAAAATATATATATATATATATTTTTTTTTTATTTTTGTGTGAGTGTACCGTCAAATCAGATCTGACTGGTACAGGAGGAGATTGTCCCTCCTTTTCCTGGCAGAGCATCTGGTGGATTCGAACCCTGTGCCTCTGGGATTGTAGTTGCAGCTCCTTACCACTAGGCCACCAGAGCTCCCCTGCTCTTAACATTTTCTATTACAATTTCTCCACTCTCACTTCTGCTTACAGAAAACTTCAAGCTACAGCAAGTTTGAGGGGAAAAAAAATTCTTTTTCTATTATAAAACAAGTAAATTACTGAAAATTTTAAAAATAATTCAGTGCTACTCTTATAATAATACATGTGCTTTTAACATTTTCTTGTCATTCTAATCTTTTTCAAATCTGTGAGACTTAAAAGTATGTGCAATGTTTCCTAGGTCACTCTTCTAATATAACAGAAGCATTTATTTCTTGCTGCTACCATTTTATAAATTCACTTTAACTGTCATTATTTTTGTTTCATTTTAAGCAATAAACATGGGTGTGCATACACTTATTTGAGTCGTGGCTCTGGTTTCTTTAGGGTATATTGCCATCACTGAAAACTGCTGATTCAAATGGTATTTCTAGTTCCAACTTTTTAAGAAAGCATCAAACTACATTCCATAGTGGAATAAGTTCCAATTTCTCCATAACCTCGCCAGTGTTTGTTGTTTGTTGCCCTGTTGAACTTTGCTGTTATCCCTGGGGTGAGAGGGTATCTCAGTTGTTTTTGCATTTTAATTCTTGAGTAAAGTATACAGTATTTGCTGCTAAAACAACAAAATAAAAACCTAGTCTTGTTTCTGCTTCACTGTTGTGGTAGAACTCATCAAACTCATTACCAAGGAGTCAGAATCCACTCATAGCTGACCAGTCAGTGGGTTTCCAGAAACTGTAAATTGCATGTGAGGGGACTGCCCATGTCTCTCCCATGGTCCATCTGGTGGATTTGAATCATTAACCTCTGAGATGTCAGGGGAACTTCTTAACCTCTAGGCCATCAGAGCTCCCTTCATAAAAACAAGACTAACCAGGAAATCAAAAGAAGAATTGCACTGGGAAAATCTGATGTAAGGGGCCTCTCCTGAGTAATGAAGAGCAAAGATATCATTCTGGAGACTAAGGTGCACCTGTTCCAGGCCATGCAATTACTTACTATGCATCAGAAAGCTGAACAATGACTAGGGATGATAGAAGGAGAATTTGATGCCTTTGACTGTAGTGCTGGATAAGAGTGTTGAATATACCATGAACTGCTGGGAAAACAAACAAGTTCACCCCAGAGAAGGTAAAACAAGGCTGCAAAGATTCTGAAGCTTCATCCGACATACTTTGGACATGCTGCAAGGAGGGACCAGTCCTTGGAGAGGGACATCATGCTTAGAAGGATGAAGGGACAGCACAAGAGAGGAAGACCCTCAATGAGATGGACTGACTCAGTGTGTGGTAATAGGAGATGAAAAGGTTGGCACAGGACAGAGCAAGGTTTAAGGCTGTTGTACACAGGGTCACTATGAGTTGCAAGTGACTTGGCAGCACATAACAACAAGCAGTAGCCTAAATAAATAGTTCAACTGATCAACTTAGAGCAATGGCTAAAAATCCTCCAATACTGTTATCTCTTCCAATTACATAAGATGTTGGTCATGGTTCCCTACAACTCAATCTTTTGTTTGTGAGGAGTAACAGGAAGATGTTTTGGATAGTCACACAACGTTGGACCATAAGGAATATAAAATAGAATCATTTAAAAATACCTATTTTAAATTATACAACTAAAATTTGCATCTATTTCAGAAAGTGAAGACTGAGCATGCACATTTTATACATGAAACATATGACTGCAGACTTGATCATGATTAAAGACAATTTGCCTAAATATACACCTATAAGAAATTAAAAATTAATTTCCTTGAAAATATTCTCTAATAGGGGAAAAAATATTGGTTCTTCCACTGGCCCTGAATGGTCAGTACTTAAATACCTTGGTACCAAATGTCACGCCTTGACAAGTATTTTAAGTATCAAGAGCCAATATTTACTAAGATTCGATGCTAAATGATTTTGTGTATGTTTGTGCTAAATAACTTTATACACATTATCCCATTAGCCTCATAGTAACCCACGACATGGAGTTATTACTAACCATCTTGTTTTTAAAATGAAGCACTGAGAGGTGACGTAACTTAATTGGGTCAGAAAGGGTCTAAAGCTGTGACTCTAAACCACGCTGTCTTACAATGTTCCTGTGTTACCATCCTTGATGGCCTCTGTTCTATCTCTGTAGCTTTAAATATCAATGCTCTATATTATTATTTGCATTATAACTGGCATAAAAATCTAGCAGGACAAAAAAAGAATGTCAACAGTCAACATATGCCAAGAGAAGCATGATAACAAGCAAAACCTCGCCCTAGGATTAAAGGCTTTTGAAGATCACAGTTTCTAAATCATTAAGGTTCAATGTCAACTTTTAGTCAAAAAAAAAAAAAAAAGCAAAAGGAACAGCTGAAAATGAGTTTTTCTTTAGGCTAATTTTCCTGTGGCCAGAAGGGAATATATACACCTTAGAGAAGTTCTTTTCTAAGCTGTAAAAGCAGGTTCTGAATTACTATCAGCAACAACAAACATCCTTAACAATAATGAGTTTAAAAAAAAAAACACTAAAAGAAAAAGCAAAATACAAATAAAACCCTATTTACTTTGTCATTTTGTTGTTGTTCTGTCCCACTGAGCTAGAATCAATTCATAGCTAACCCTCCAATAGGTTTTCAAAGGGAGTAAATCGGATGCACGGGAGGAGACTGCCCATTTTTCTCCTACAGGGTAGCTGGTAGATTTGAACCTCAGGCCTTTGAGTTGGCAGCCCAAGTCCTTACCACTAAGCTGCCAGAAATTCCTATTTTGTTACTATGCTAAGCAAATACAAACAAAATGGTAACAAACAACAACCACAACCAATCCCTTATAATTATTTTAGATGTGGCTCCTAGGAAACTCCTGTTCTACCCCTCCCCCCACTCTTGGGAAAGCTTAACAAGAATGTGCTCACTCACCCATGACAGGAGTGCAGCGGCCCGGGTGGCATGGAGTGTCATCTTGGTGATGCTAGAGAGTCACCCCAACACACCTGTAACCCAAGAGAGGATGAGTAATTAATAAAATCAGATATCCATGGTGAAGTAAGAGAACGGAAACAGTTCCCTCTATCATCTCTCAACACTCAATAAGTTACTCTTCACTCATCACTTACCTTACCAGGGCTATGTGACCTGCTTTATCCTATCAGAACTAACAGTAAAGAATGCCATATTTCAACGTCCACAAACTTCAATCACACACAGCTTTCGATTACACAGAAAATGCAACACTCAAAGCAAGCCTTTAACCCTGCACTGTGGGAAATGGTTTCCCTAAATATGGGACAAACATGATTTTTCAGAAAGACTTAGGTCTAAGTGCTGATTTCATGGCCAAATAACTTTGTAAAAACAACAATCTGTTTCCTCATCCACAAAATGGGATCTATAAACAATCTGGGTTATCATGATGCTTAAAGATAAAGCAAATAGTTACATGTATGACAACACTCTGGAACAATGGGTGTATTGCAGGGCGGGCTGGGGAGAGGAAAAATGTGCAAAAATGAATTAAAAAAAATTTTTTAACAATAAAGCAAACAGCACAAACTGACATACCGTAAGCATTCAACATATGAAGACTATTTTTAAGCGAGGGATCTCTCTCTGGTCGTGTAGGCAGTCCACAGATGCTGCCCTGCTAACCCAATGGCCATGTCTCTCTGATGGGATGGACTCACCAGCTACTCCGCAGGAGAAGGCCACTTCAGAAACTCAATGGAGGGTCAGCTATGAATTCCAACTAGATGGCTAGAAGGAGTAAGTTTCGTGCGTGTGTGTGTGTGTTTGTGTACTGTCAAATCAGACCTGACTGGTACAGGAGGAGATTGTCCCTCTTTCCTCAGCAGAGTATCTGGTGGATTCAAACCACCTATCTCTGGGATTGCAGTGCAGCTCTTTGTCACTAGGCCACCAGAACTCCCTGGGATCGAGTTTCTTAATCAAATTTCTGGTGCTTTCCTGCAGGTACCCAAATTCCACCTAATGAATAGTAAGCAAGTCTGGGGATAAAATGTTTAAATTTTCATATCTCCCACAGAAATGTCCAAAGCATGGTTCAAACAGGACTGAGCATATCCAAACCAAGGTCTCTAGATGAGGCCAAGCTCAATTTTGGAGACTATCCCACGAGACAACTAATGAAAGAGTTAAGTATCTGTCCTGGTATTCCTATCCCTCAATTCTCCTTCCCACTGGGAATCTGCCATCTGCCTGCCAACTTACCCAAGAGATCACAGAACTGATGATTAAGTACTCGCCAACACCTGTAACAGCCCCCACACTTGCCACAAATCCACATGGGAGCACTTAGTTCCGCTTCCACCTACCACCTTGTGTGTTCAGTCTGTCACTCATCTAGGAGAAGGAAGAAAAGCAGAGCCAAATACCTACGACTTTCCCCCTGAAAGATAGCATTGTCAAGGTGTGGGTTCCGTGGAACCAACATTTGCTGAATACCCACTGCATCCAAGAGTTTTCTGAGTGAAAAAGATATAGCACTATTTCACAAGATGCTTACTGCTTGGTTGGGAAGACAGATATATTTTTTGTAACTTTGACAGAATGTGATCTGCCACTCCCCATCTTCTCTTGATCCCACCTAGACAAGTATATTGTATATTCTCATTAGCAATTGAAATGGTATTTGCCTGATAAGTTCATTCTGTTGGAGAAAAACTATACAGTCTTTTCCTCTAGGAGACTTAAAACTAGGGTGAGGTGTAAAAATCAAAGCTGCACAAAGCACTAAATAAATAGAAGAAAATGTAAAGCAAACCATAATTAAATGTTAATCATGCTAAGTATCCTGATCCTGCAAAACTCAATGTGATTCTATCAGTCATATCAGCGTCACAATTTGGAAATGAGTTAATTCACTTGGGCTATGGTTAAGACCAAGTGAAGTAACTGAGGGCACTCTCAGAAGGGCAGAGAAGTGGTTTATGTGTCCTGTGGTCTTAGGTGTTTTCACCAAACATGGCTTACCCTTGGAGTTAGGCAAGGATGAAGGCAGACAGACTGAAGACAAAGAAGCAGCCTCAACTACTACAGAGCAATATGGCTTTTCTAATGGTAGACCAGTCTAAAGCCAGGGGCGACCATGCTTGGCCCCTGTGGTGACAGAGTTACAGGCATATGCTCAATACAACTGTGGTTTCTTTAAAAAAAAAAAAAGGCGAAGAGGGGGAAAAAAAAAGCCCTAAACCAGGTCCAGATCATCTATCTCCTCCTTCTCTGGAGTCTAAAAAGAACTGCTCTTCTTTTGATGAAGCACAGAAATTTTATTTGTAGCCTCAGAGATTCCACAGCTGGGCAGTTAAACAGGACCAAAAGTTTAACCAACCAACCTTCCCTTCACTGTAGGGGCAAACCATTTTAATCTCTATGTTCTCTCAGGAAAGCCTGACTAAAAAACTAGTTCCATCACCAAGTAGAAAAAGCCCAGGTCAAAGCCAAATGCCTTTTTTCTGTGCTCCCCCAAACACAGCAATGTAGAGTTAAAGGATGTTCTTGGGGTGAGGGCACTCAGGTGAGAGGCTTTAGGTAAGCCCCATCACTCACTTATCTATGTGTCGTAAACGATGGAAGCCAGACAGCTAGTCTTCAACACTGAGCCTATAGCTTTAAACAAGCCTTGGCTTGGAACCCAAGGGTTCTAAGCCAGAGTACCATTCTCCCCACCCTCCCCCTGAAATGTGAGGCAAGCCCCACCCAAAAGACTGAGTGATGGTGTGGTAAAACAGATCCCCACAATTGCGAGCCTGGAACCATTTCATACAAGGATCTGCAGAGAGCCACCACACTCAACCTGGCATGCTTCCAAACCCACAATCAGCTAACAAAACATGGGAATGCAATGTGGGAAGCCAGTCCTCTGGGGTACTTTCAGAGTTCCCACCCGGTTCATCAAGAAAGGTAATGCCTCTAGGATCAGAAACAGAATCGTTACAGAGCTAATAAGGCGCCTTCTATGTCTGAGGGCTCAAGAAGAAACCAAGCTGCCTTATAAAACGCAAGGCCTATATCCCCTTTACAATTCTAGGACTGATACAACACAACTCCCGCACATCTCCATTTCACACACTTAAGAGTAACCCATTAGGAGATGTATTGGGACAAGGAAAATCACTCTCAGAGATACAGCCACTTGGCCTGCACATTTTCTGGGTCACAAAGAGTTAAACCCCCTAGCTGCAGTTCCTACCAGACTGAAGCTAATGAAAAACACCTGCTCAGATGCAGAGACCAGGACTACAGGGTCAGGTTGCTAAGCTCCAGGGTCTGGTCTTCCAAAATCTTTACTTTGAGGGGACAGACCAAGTGATGGGCTGAAAGCCAGGGGGCGTAGAATGTGGCAGCACTACTCTCCTCACCACGCCTCCTACCCTGGCTGCACCAACTCCTTTGGAGAACACCTATTGGCCACTAATTACCTGCCAGAACATCAACCCCACTTCAAGATAACACCAAAGTAACCTTTGGTCCCAAAGAGCTGCTAAATTGCACTGCTCTCTCAGCTCATGGCTCCCTGCCTCCTCTGAACCCTTGTTCACTTAGGTGCAGCTTCCATCCCCAGAATTTCAAGGCCCCAAACCAATATAAGTTCCCACCTCAAAGAAACCTTTCCCCTTTAGTCCCACCCCCTCTATCTGGTGCTTCCAAGGGCCCATAGAGTCATAGCTCAGAAAGGAAATAGTTACCCCACCTGTGCCCTGGCTCAATGGCAAGATTTACCATCATTTAGTCTAAGAGCCTGCCTGCTTATTGTTCTAAGAATTCCACGATCTGCATTCCTTTTTGGAAGGAATTCTTCTTGATCTGAAAGAGTATCCTGATCCGAAGCTCCTCCTCTAACTCTGGGAGGGTCTGGCAAGCTTCACCTGGTAGGTTACTCCAGAGAGGCCCAGCAAGGCGGAGCTGTATCCCATAGGCTGTCTTAGAGAAAAAAGGAAAGTATCTTGTTGGTTCCTCCCTTGGCTCAGAGAAGGTAAAAGGCCAAAGAACCAGCAGTTCCATGCGAAGATATGGAAAGAAAAACGCAAACCTTTGCAACTCCAGAGTGGACTGGCCCAAGTCCAGAGTCCCTGTGGCTACACCTGAGGTCAGGGGCAAACCTGATAGCTAGCTGAATGTATTCCCAGAACCCCCAAAAAGGGACTATCTCTTGGCTCAGGCCTGCCCCTCTTCACACAGACCACCCTCTCTTTTGGGCCAAAGCCCCAAGACCCTGGAAAGGAATGAGGAGGCGATTACAGGAGACAACCAGGATTTCCCATTTCTTCAAGTGTTTTATCTCCCCTGTCTCCTCTGCAGGGCTCAGATGAGAAGAATGTGGGCAAAAGGGGTGCAAACCTGAGCTAGATTTGGGGCCTGTGGCCACATCACATCACAACCACACATACATACTTACATACCCTAAGTACACACACACCCAACTGGGCCCACTCTGGCGCTCGAGCAGTTAGTTCATCAGCACCTGCCTCCACTGTTATATGCACATCCCTCCCGGGTCCCCACCAGCTTAAAAAAAAAGGAACCTGGTTTCACTCCCCACCACCGCGTACACACCCAGGGCCTCACTTGGGAATGAAGCCCTCTTCTGAGCTCTCTCTACAGCTCAAAGTGCAGGCGCACACGCTTTCCCCCTCTGAACAAAAACACGCTGACATCTACGCAGAGAGGAAAGAAAGCAACGCTCTGCTCTGAAAGGCGCCAACTCCCGGATGTTGGCAAGCTCTCCCAGCGCCTGCTTCCCAGTGTGTTTACTTGCTCGCCCGGCCTCTCCCTCCCCTTTAAGGATGGCGCACGAAAGGGAGGTGAGGGGGGAGAAGCCACCCCACCCCCTCGTCCATGTTTGAACAAAAACCCAGAGAAAGAGTGAGGGAGAAAAAGTCTCAGCGCACGGAGGCCTTACCAGACTCCTAGAGCCAAACGTATCTACAGGTCTTAATCCGCCA